CACATGTTAAAAGATGTTATTTTCCTCTTAATTAATTTTCTAATTCCTATCCATCTTCCTCATCCTCAGTTTTTCTAGAAATTTCCATTCAACCCATTTTGCCTTTCATTCACCCATACATCGGATTCAACAAATTTGGCAAATTGAGTTTATTGACTGAGAATGCTCCCATGCACATTATTATACTCTACTTAGAAAATGGCCATCGATAGTTGATATTATCGAAATATCGATATTTACCTCTACTACGTACTACATTCTGTAAGAAACAGGTAAGATGGATGGATAAATTTTTTTTTATAATAATCAGATTCACATATAATAATTCTTAGCGCTTTCCGAAAACAATAATTCAATAAAATATTGAAGGGATGATGTTGATTGTCAATAATATTGAAATAGATGCTATTGATGGTAAAATATTGAATATCCGAAGGGAAATGTCGATATTTTGTTAATATCAACTATCTATAGTCATCCCTAAGTCTAGGTCTTCCTCTTAGGTGCTTTCCTGCGGGTTTTGCCTCAATTTTTGTGGGTCACAGTCTTCATTCATTTGACCTAAATACCCAAACCATGTCAATTGTCTCTTTTTCCCTGGAATCCTTTGGCGAGACTGTACCTCTCTTATCCTTTCATTCCTGATCTAGTCTCTCATGGTTCAGCCAGCTACCCTTCGAAGACTTCAGAAGTCACTAGCAATAACCCTACTTAGGTGTTTGGTTAAAGAGATCCAGTTTTCGCTCCCAAGCACAAGAGTAGATAGATATATAGCTTTAAAAATAAGCATTTTTACTTTCTTCTCGACTTTTCTTATCCCATGGATTGTATTGCAATAACTGTAGTATACATCTTGGGCCTTTTTAATCCTGTTAAAAATTTCTTGGTCGATCCTTGCATTCCTAGTTCTAATTACTGGTTCCTTAACATAAGGGTATTCAATTTTTCCATTTCATAAACAAATTATGTTATTCTTTGTTTTTGTAAATAAATTCAATTGTTGTTTAATTGGAAGTCATCATTGCCAAAAAGAAAGAATAACATACAACTTCCCAGAAAAAAGAAAATTATGTTATATTGAAGATATGTATTTACTTATTGTTCCGAGGAGTTATCTCGGATATTAAATAAGCTTTTCGATGCCTTCCTTATAGAATTCTCTTGCCATCTACTTCAAGATCTCTTGTTTCATCTGCTGAAAATTTGTTTTCCATTCATGTGAGTCTTCAGAAAGATGAAAATCTCAAGGTGCCTAGTCAGGGGAGTGCGATGGGTGGTTCACAATGTACCAATCAAATGAGTTCTAGCAGTGTGCAGGAGGATGGGAGAGGGGGAAGGGGCGACATTGTGAAACACACTATTTGTCAAATTCTCCTGATCTCTTTTCGGTCCCAAAGCAAGTGAGGTTCTGAATTTGTTGTTAGATGGGAAACCAATGTGATAAAAATTTTTGTCTAAGAACTTTCAATAATTTCAGTCAGCATTTTTCTTTTTATGATAAGAAACCTTATGATAGGGTGCACCTCGCACATGGATGGATTTCTCATTCACATATTTCACAGAATCTCATATTACGAGGTGACTTTTGATGCTAATGAGTTTAGCCACTGTCCAACAAGGAAACGTTAAGGAAATCCCCTCTAGCACTCAGCGTTGCCACCTTTAGAAAAATAAGAATTTCCACGGTGCAAAAGTCCAACATTACTCTTATTTCCTAAGCATGCTGCGTCTATTCCATCAATCCTTTCCACTCATGTATTGTTAGACAAGCCTTTTTAGTCCAGTATAATTCATCAATCTTATTACCTCATATCGTCGATTTATTGCAAAAAGTCAGCAAGTGACATTTCATAACCTCAAATAATTAAAAGCTTTGATGAATTATCCTTTTATAGGACCAGAATATTATACACTTAATGTATATGTGGTAAATAAAAGAGTTTGTCACATTTTCATACCCTTAGTATATTTTTGTAGAGATCAACATGGTCAAAATACACAAAAACATACTTGAAAATTCAGTGTCTGTCTTAGGGTGGGACTACCAGGATCCATCAGAGGTGCTTGCTGCTCTATTTGTTACAAATTAAAAAAAAAACATTAAAGTAATTGTAGTCTTTAAATAAAGCAACAGTATTACAGAAATATTGAATATAATAAAATTCCAAAACTGCATAATATAAAACAGCTTAAGAAATAAATTGAATGCCTACGGCCAGTGCTGTGAAAATTAACCTATTGCAATAAACTGACGATATCCAGCAAGCCTGTAAAAAATGTATTAACTCATATCCAGATATGTTCAATCGGTCAAATCAGTTAAATCATGTCCTATCCCGTCCAGTAAGTCAGACCAATCATCTGTCCTACCTTGTCCATCAATCAGGTCTTGCCATTGAAGCACTTCTGGTTTGTTATGTGTATGAAGATAATTAGTGAAACTTTTTGTTCTTGCAGAATATGAAAAAAGAAAATTCTTCAAAATCAAAAATGTTCACCCACCTTTTGCATTTTAGGCACACTGAACTAATTTGGTCACTTGCATGTCTGTAGTGAAATCCATGTAACAAGCATAACACAACTTTTACTGTTATTCCTTTTCGATAAAATTTTCAGAAATTTTGACGGTCTGTGCCTTGATGATGTGAAATCAATTTCATTCACTACCGTTAATATAATATGAGAAGGAGTTAGTCGGGGGTGCGGTCAAATAAATACTAAATTAAAATAACTACTATTTTTAATTTAGTATTTATTTGACCGCACCCCGACTAACTCCTTCTCATATCAAAGAACATGATAGTGAATATCCTCAGATATTCTAAGAAATGTCAAAGTATACAAAACATTTTAACCAATCATTGACAAGTTAAAGGTTAAATTTTAGTAATAGTAATTAAGTAAAAATTACTATATTATAGTTTTTTATTTATCCAAAAAGAGTAACAAAGAAAAAATAAATGGGTTTTCCATGGAATTAAATTCCAGTACCACACTGGTGCTCTTGGTTTCCTTAGCTTACAGACCTTCTATACTTCATCCATGATTATGATAAATAGTAGTGGGTTTAGGCTATCACCTTGTTTGACGTCTTTATAAAATCTAAATGGCTTAATTCAGATCCGTTAATCCGCACTATTCCCTTGTGATCCTGGTGAATTGATTTGATTACATTGATGTGATCGGATGGCACCCATTTTTCCTCTGGAGCATTCTAAATATCTTGACTAGGAATCGAATCAAATGCAGCCTTTAAGTCCAAGAATGCTGAAAATAGCCTCCTTCCTTTATCTTCAACAACCATTCTTAATGAGAAAATATGATCCTGGGTTTGCCTCCCTGATCTAAAGCCAGCCTGCTCCTCTTCCAGATCATGATTCAATAATCTCTTAAACCTCTGTTCCAATATTTTCTTGTATTCAGTTGGCAAATAAGTCCTTAAGGAAGTAAAAAATAAATTTAAATTAGCAATTTCAATTCACTTTAAATCCATTTTTATTCAGAACTTCTCTGTAAACAATGTGCTCTTTTATTGTTTAGTTCACAGCCTTGCCCATTACCATTGAAAATATAAATTTCAATATTTTAAATGAACCTGCTTTACTTGCTGCCACATATAATTATCTATGCGAAATTACTACTAAAACTACGCAATAATACACACATTTTCCCAAAACTTTGACCCTGCGATTTGATTATGGTCATAGCAAATGCAGCTTTTAATAAGAACGTTGTTCTTTGAAAGTTAAATGTAAGTATTGTGTCAGAAAATGTTAAATTAATTCTTGGAATTAAAATTCTTTAATTTAAAGTATGCCCCATTAATACTTCACCATCATTCATGTTTCATTAACTAATGCTTGTGCAGCATTCAAATTAAGAATGAGCACAACTATAGAGTTTACTTAGAACTATCCAATAACATTCAATGATATCATATCTTCAAATAATAGTCCAGATTACTTCAATAAATGTAAAATTTTCGATTTATCAAAAAAAAAAATAATGGAAATCGACTTTGCAAAATAAAACATACTAAATGTTTAAAATGATATATCTCTGCAACAAATAGTCCGATTTTGATAATTTTTTTTTTATTTTGTCGAGAATTCAGAAAGCTTTCAAATAAATATAGGTATTATCCATACAAAAATGTGTACTTTTTGAGTTATTCACAAATAAAATACTGAATTCATCATAAAAATGTATGCAGCTTGTTTTTGAGAAAGTATGTCATATATATAAATTATAAAAGTTTCAAGGGGAAGACTTTAGTCAAGTTTCATTGAAATCGTTGAAGCTATATTGGCGCTACAGTCTAAAGCAAATCACGTTTTTCGGCCGCCATTTCGGAAGGAAAGGCCTGATGATAATGAAACTCATACAAATCACTTCTAAATATTATTGTAACGTTTTGTCAAAATTTAAAAGAAATCGGTGAAGAACTTTCAGAGATTAGCCGTTTTGAACAAACTACCATTTATATTTTTATTTACATACTATTCAATATTTTTATTTATTGATAACACTAAAGCTTGTAAATATCTATTTAACAAAAAAAGAATGAAGAAAATCGGTTGAATAACAGAGGAGTAAAAGGGGCTGAACCCTGTTTGCCTATTTATATAATGATAAATAAATTGTTAATTGAACAATGTTGAGATAGAATATGAAACCACCAATTGTGTGTGTTGAATAGACTAACTTGATAATATTATATTGTATATACGAATACATACGTTTTGCTGAAATTGGTTATGCATTAAGAAGAAAGATAGCTATCTAATGTGAGAGTTCTCACTGGAATAATCAGTTACTCAGCTGATTTAGTGCTGTAAAAGAAAATTATGAATAAAAATATGACAGGACCCAGCATGTATACCAACACAATTTAATGACAATTTGCTTTTGAATTGGCTGAAATTTTATCAAATATTTATTATTCTAAAATCAATAAAATAGTCAAAAAATTTAAAAAATATTTATTTTTTCTGTTTCAGGGGCAACTGCACACTTTGCTGGAGAATCGTAAGTAATATTTTAAAGCTCTGTTAATTTTTTCCTAACTAGTTGATAAAAAAACAATTTATGTTTTATTTCTATTCGTCAACTGCTAATTAACATTAGCCTAAACCTTCATAAATAGATTCATCTCATCGTAACCTACAAATATTTTATTTATGAAAGTTCTTGGGATTGGGGCGTTTTCAATCTGGAGGTCGGCAAACTTTGTTTATTTAATTACACTCATGAATATACATTTGCTTTCCACTTAGATCATAAGATAATTTCATCATGAAACCGAGAGAAAAAAAGTGCTGGTCCATTTGGCATGATCTCCCCCCCAAACTGTCAGAATAAAGAGGTTATATAGGCCTAACGGTCCAATATTTTTGTAGGCCACCTTTTTTTTCGGCTTTGTTGTTATATCTTATGATTCAAGTGAAAAGAAAATGGGTATTCATGAATTTTTAGTACCTAATTAAATATACAAAGTTTGCCGATCTCCAGATTGAAAACTCTCGAATTCCGAGAATTTAAGTAAATAAAATATTTGTAGATTATATGATAAAATGAAGCTATTTATGAAGATTTAGGTGGATTTTAAGAATTGGATAAAAAGAGGTCTGTACCACTGACTATAATTTCAAACTTATTCCAATTTCTATTCACCATATATTATTAGTATATTATATGAATATAATATTAATGTAATATGAATACTTTGTTTATTTTAATATATATTTGTTCTGTAGTTAAATTGACATTATATATAAAGTCTATAAATTATTTATAGACTTTAAAATGGCTCTAGTTAATCCGTTTAGATTCACTTGGTCCTGTACCCATGATGGATATGAAAAAGGGATATGTAGTCCAAATTTCTTTTTATTTTAATTCCTTAATTTATGCTATTGATATTAAGTATTTCAGTTCCAGGTTATCCTAAAAATAAAATATTTATTGACCAAAAAATCTCTTATTTTGAAGGAGTGACACAGAATCCGCAGACCATCATCACCATGCTTCGAACCCCAAAATAAAGAAGACGCCGTTCACTTCTGTTTTCAAGAAGAAAGCTAAAGAACCCACTCCTGAGCCAAGCCCGGAAGGAGAGCAAGAAGCAGCTGAAGAAGACAGGGTTAGATAACAAACTTATTAGAAATAAAAATAATTATTAACGAGACCATTAAACTGATTAAATGTTACTAATATAATAGAAATATAAAAATATAAATATTTCTGATGTCACAAAAATGATTCAGTGTTACTACTTAAGTAAATAAAAAAATCTATGATTCTACTGAATTAGAAACTTTTTTTCTGAAAAAAAGAAAATCTAGATTCACTCTAACTTTAAATTAATTAATTTAACATAAAAATGCCCCATTTCTACAAATTTGTGTTAATAATATAATTAGAAATAGAAATAGAAATAGAAAATAACTTTGTTCTGGGACAAAGTCCCTTTAGAATAACAAAATAGAACATAATTAAAATACTACATCTGGCCAAAATAAAACAATGATAAAAAAGAGAAAGTAAAGAAAATATTAGTTAAACAAGCTATATACAAAAAAAAATCTAAATACAAAACACTTAAAACTATGATAAAACACTTAAGACTATGTACAGTAGGAAAAATTATAATTATACTCTTTTGAAAAATAAAATAATAAAAAATACATTGAGTTCTTCTTTAAAATGAGGTGTGTTTCTGCTAACAAAGAAGAGACAAAACTGACAATATAAAATATCAGTGTCTTTAAATAATGATTAATATGTAGACTCATCATTGTCAAATGCTAGCTATAGGTACAGATTTAATTATATACCAATAAAAAATAATAATAAAAAAAAAAAAACAATAGATGCGGTCAGTGGCATTAAGAGCCGGATGATATTGTAATATCCCTAGTGAAGTTCATAGTATAAAATAGTACTATCGTTTGATGATGACTAGAAATATATAATATCGAGTAATAAGTTGAATTATATTATACTAATAATAAGTTTAAGGTTACGATTAGATGAAGTCACTCATGAAGTTTTGAACGGGTGTTAATAATTTGATAAAAAGGGGTATGTACCGTGGCTATTTTTGTTTGGAGCAAGAAATTTTGTATTGCTATATTATTATAACTAGGGCATTACTCCCTGTCCGCCTAATGGTGGACCAACTCCCATTTTACAAATTATATAACTGTTCGTTTAATTGTATATTACTCATTGCTCAAATTGTATAAGGGTGATTCTCAGATTATGGGCAATATTCGTGATAAAATTTTAATAATTTTGATGGCATTTAAATGCAATTTTCTAAATGCCTACACCCTCTATTGCCGCTTAGCAGGGAGTGACACGAGTTTTCAACTTGGTAATGATATTTTCATGTATTTTATTCGTCCAAAACGGCTGTGTAACTAGTATTATAATTTTTGTTTTTTCCAACTGACGTAAATTATAATAAATGAAATAATTTGAACAGGTAGCTAGATAATATACGCAGTGATAATGACAACAATAAAGGTACGTGCTCAACGTATAAGAAACGTAGAGGGAGGCTCCCCAACTGGTCGGTCTATCTTGCTAGTGGCTGTCCTTAGCTACTACTACACTCTGAAGAAATTTCCCCGCTGTTCCATCTTTTCAACGCTTAAATATCTGATGTTATGTTTTTTGCTTGGTAATGATATCTAAATGATGGGGTAATGTTTGAAAATACATAAACATACTTCACTGTCAACAAAAGTTAAAAATATATATATAATTCAACATGTCTTAATTATTCTGGAGGAGTGGAAGTAAATTTCACTGTCATTTTACATAGGTTTCAAAAGAAAAAAAAAATTGTTTACTAGAAAACTGAGAGTGGGGAAATAAATGGTAATGATATTTTAGTAGCTTAAGCAATTATAAAATCACACTATTTTTTTTTTTTTAATTTTTAATATTGCATTATGAATACCCATTTTCTTTCCACTTAGATCATGAGATAATTTGATCACAAAATTGAGAAAAAAGGTGGTGGTCCGTTTGGTTGACCCCCACTCCCAAACTGTCGAAATAAAGAGATTATATAGGCCTAAAGGTCTAATATTTTTGTAGGCCACCTTCCGACTTTCCGACTTTGTGGTCATATCTTACAATTCAAGTGGAAATAAAATGGGTATTCATGAGTTTTTAGTACCTAATTAAATAGACAAAGTTTGAATAGACAAAATTTTTAATAGTGCATTCTTCACCGTATAGCAGTGGGGAAAAAAATCAACTTAGACTTAACTAATCATGTAAAAGTTGTAATTGACTAAAACTTGCTCCTGAAATGAGAATCGCCCATCACTTTAATTTACATGTATTCTAGAGTTCAGATTGTATTATTTTTTATCAACATAAAATAAATTGAAAGAATTCACAATTCGGGCAAATTTTTAATTTATTTAAAAATCTATATTATACCTCGCGCCTTATTGCCTATTTATATTATCATGTAATCATAATAATTATTTCCAATTTGTAACCATAATATATATTCAACTTGTTCAGCTTCATATAAACCCCGCAATAATTTGAACATTGTACGTTATGTTGTGCTTTCTTTTCTGCTTTGTTTTAATAATTATATCACAATATAATATAATAATTAATATATTGTACTCAAGGGGAAATGTCTAGATCAAAAAATAACTGCTGTCACCTAGGTAAAATCAAACTACCGCCTCAAGATGAATACGATTTCCTGTACAAAATTTTAGTCTAAAATCTTTATTTTATATTAGAATACTATTAGACAACAGAAGCTCAATACATATTTAATTAAATGAAGAGCTGTATAATTTGTAAAATAATCGGTTAATAAGTCGAGCTCCTGTTATCTCTATTTCTCCTAATACTAAAACAAAATAAAATATGAAAGTCAATAAAAACTTTTTTATATAATAGAGAGATTTATTATACTAATGATTAATGTTCTCACAACTAGGAAGAAGATAGCAAAGATGAAGCAGGGCGAGTCATGCTCAATCCAGACGAAGGAGTAGTCTACGCTGAGTTGGACCTTACTGTTGCCACACCAAGGGTTCAAGTCAAGCCAGAGGACGAAAAAACTGAATATGCCGAGATAATACATACAAAAGGCAAATAGAGTTATATTTTTCTATTAAAGAGTCATTCTATCGTTTAAAAAAAAACAAGAACTGGCACAATATTTTGGAGTTGTTTAACAATATTGATGTATTTCTATAATAATAGATTAGATTTATAAGATTATATAATTCAATAAGATCCCCTTAAAACTGAGAATAAATTCTATGTGTTTGAGATTGTAATGTATATAATTTTAAGGGTGTGAAACTTGGCTATAACATGTATGTATTTTTATTATATTGCAAAAGATTTTATAATATTAAGAAACAAAACAATTTTCTGTAATGTATATTATGGACTGTGGTTTAGATATCTTGTGGAATCGTTTTGCTACTTACCTTTGGCCTATGTTATTTTTAGTGGAATGTTTACAGCCAAGTCTAAAAATATTAAAATGAATATATTTAAAAATATATTTTGAATATTATTTTGTAGAAATATCTTTTCTACTTTAAAAATTTTTTAATCCCCTAATACATGCAGTACAAGATTTTCTACCTGGACATGTAATGATCTGAGAGATCAATGCAAATTTTGAGTGACAAAACCAATTTAAAGAACGGGGTAGTAAATTTAAATTTTCTCCATATTTTCTTCCTTATCATAGCTGTCCGTAAAGCTCATATATCGTAAACCGGGTTTACTTTGGGGCTAAGGGTTTTTATTTGCTAGAGTTTATTTTGAATTGGAAATCACCTGGCGGACTGGAAAATTGTTATATCAAGACAAAACAAAAGTTGTCTCAATATAAAAATGTTTAAGCCAGTCAGGTAATTTCATATTCAAAATAAACTCAAGTACATAGTACCCCGGTTTACGGTACTTTAAATATAAATAATTTTTATATTTGTGTTTATAGTTTCATATTGTTTAGCTCCACCATTCTGTTGCCCCGCCATCAGAGGTAACTATTTAAGTTCATGATTGATGATTTGGTTTTATTGTCATATTTGCAGTTCTCAGGATATATTTCGGAGGAGTAAAATTTTATAAATTAGCTAAACCGGTAATAAAAACTTGTAATTCAAATACAAATATTTGAGATTTATAAGATTAGTAAATTATGTATTCTTTTGGATTTTCTTCCTATTAAAAATTTTTTGTTATATAGTCTTAATTATATTATAAATAATGATTAGTTTTGAAATTCATATTTTATTGGTCTCAATGTGAATTCAAATAAGTAAAGAATGTTTTGATTTTGAGATATTTTATTTTGGTCTAAATTTTATTAAAAATGAATCGTTAATCTTTTATACTCGATAGTATATGATTTAGCAGTTGTTAGTTCATTTTTCCTATTTTTTTTTTTTTAAACTGAATTAAACGAAAACTTAATTTTTTAAGTTGCTATTTGTCAGTTATGTGGTTTCGCATTGAGACCGATGAATTGCTTTTACAGAAAGTTTTAATCACGTTTTTCTAAGCATTGTTTGGATTTTGTCAAGTCAATGAGACTAAAAATAAAATTGAAAACAGATTATAAGAAAGAAATTAATCATTAAGCTATTAGAAGAAATAATTAACATGAGATAGAATCTCTTAGTTCTTGCATGTATCGGAGATTTATAATAATTTCTAACAAGTTTTAATAATAAAATTCTGTGATTTTTAATATAATTTAAAAACAAAGATTAAAATTTATTATGAGGGGCACTGGTGCAATTTATAAATTGTTTATAGGTGTACCCTGCCTTTGGGGGTCTTATTATATTTTATGAACAAATTCAAAGGTCTAAATTTTTTATGTTTTTATAATTAAGTTTTTTTGTGTATATTCTGAAGTTATAAAAAAATGTTATGTGAAGAACAAATTTATAGAAATTGTTAAAAGGTAATCATATATGAAACACTTTAATTAGTTTGTAGAGGATTTTTATGTACTTATTCTAGTTTTAATAAAAGTAAGTTTTTATGTGAAAGAACAGTTATGGAAAAGCACGGAAGATTTCTAGAAATAACATTCCTTAATTGTTTAAAATCAAATCTTAGAAAAATAATGTAAATATATATACATTTTTATTAATTTAATTTTTTAATGTATTTTTTTAGAATTGTGATAAATATTCATGACTTTAAGCGTTGCCATCTTTCTCAAACTGTCCAAAGGACTCTTAATTATATATATTAATTAATTTTAAAACTATTGTCCATTTTGATCAAAAGACTGATCTTTTCTGGAAATGTAACTTAAAAACTGAGGTTGAAAGTAAATAATAAAAATAAATAAAGTCTTCAAAAAAATATAATACAGGAAATATAAATAATGTTAATCATTGGTTGTGAGCTAATGGTCAACTTAAGTGACTGTCTATTATAATTTATGTGGGATCAATAATTTCGATACTTCAATTGTAAGATTGGGAGGAGATGCAAATGTGGAAACTCTTAGTTTTAGCTTTTAAACGAAAATTTAACAACACTTATCTAATAATATCTTACTTACAAAAATAATAATATGTGGTGGTTCAGACCCATTTTTATAAAATTTTTAACATTCGTCTAAAACTTCATGGATAGCTTCATTTTATTGTAACATACAACTTTTTTATTTAAGAAAATTTTCGGAAATAGAGCATTTTCAATTAAGAGATTGGTAAACTTTGTTAATTTAATAAAATACTACAAATTCATAAATACCCATTTGATTTCCATTCGAACCTTAAGACAATTTGATCAATAAATCAATACAAAGATGACCTAAAAAAATATTGTGGCTTTTGACCTACATAACCTCATTATTTTGATATGTTGATGAGGATGGAGATAACACCAAATGGCCTAACATTTTTGTAGGTCACCGTTTTAATCAACTTTGTGAACAAATTATCTCAAGGTTCAGGTGGAAAGCAAATGGGTGCTCATGAGTTATTATTTTCTTATTAAATTGATAAATTTTACCGATTCAGATTGAAAATGAGCAATTTTTTAGAATTTAAATAAATATGAAAGTAGTAGGTTAAGATCGAATTAAGCCAATCACAAAGTTTTAGACAAGTGTTAATAATTTGATAAAAAGAGCTCTGTACTGCAGAATAAATTAATAATGAATATAAAACAATAATTTTAAAAGAGTAAAAATTCATTTTTTTACTATGCAATACATCTAAAAACTACATAAAAATTTTACATGAAAATATCCTAAAATTGATTAAAATTACAGATTTTGAATGAACTAAAAACTATTTTATTTTACAATACACTGTTTATTACAAAAAGATACAAACTTCATGTGGAGGACGAAAAAACAAATTTACTTGCAAAAATCGGAAATTTAATAGTCATTCTCAATGTGAACTTTAACCATATTTTCTGCACCTCACTTTTTAAAAATTGATTTTGGTTTTCCACTGATGTGCTTCTAGGAGAGAAAAAATTGTAGAAACATTAGATCTGATGTGTTTTCTCAACTAAACCCACACAGAACATGTTTCTATGTTACGCATATATATTTGCCATTTTGAACTTGAAAAATTGAAAACATAAACTACTTCAACTAATTGGCGCTTATCCTATTAGATCTCAGCACTATGTAAGCCAGATATTATACGTTCCAAATTTGTACTTCTCCTCCTACTATAACTAACGAATGTATTATTAAAATAAACAAGATATTGTAATTTGTTCATCTTGAACATTCTATCAAAATTCTTTTAGATTATTATAAAGAAAATTCAATTAAAATTATTTTTAATTATAAAACATTACCAACTGTCAAAATGTAAAATTATTTATTTGATATTTAACACATTACTGATTGTATTTGTTAAAATTTCAAATCTACTAATAAGTTCCATCTGAATATTATTTTACAATAAACAACAAACAAACAAGGAACATAATTAAAATTTTAAAAAACAACAGTTTTTTAATTATACTTGCATAAAATTATAATTGTAATTAGGAGATTATTGCATTTATGACGGCTTAAATTTAATATTATGTTGAATTTTAAGATTTTAAATCTATATCTCAGGGATAAGATACCCTAAAATAATATTAAAAAAATTAATTTATCAATTTTAATCATGTTTCTCGCGACTCTATTTAAAAATAAAAAACATTTTTGTAGCCTATAAAATGTTTTTGAGCTTCATAACTTCATATTTATGAAAGTCAATTTCTAGGAATTTATAATCAAAATCAAAGAAAATCACATTTTGATTGACGCACAGATTTGATACCTTTCATTTTATCTGACTGCACAAAGAACATGACCACCTAAAGTAAGATTTTATAACAAATATTTTTCTAAATATTTTTTTAGCTACATTTTGTTTTTTTTTAGTTGTTTCTATTTTATTTAGTTATTTAATATCAGCAGAACATTATGCTTGATAAAGTTTTTAAATGAAAGGATATTATATTTTTTGTTCTCCAACATTAGTGCTTACGTAGTTTATTAATGATTGTATATTAGTTTTAATGAATAAAACAAATTAATTTTATGTTACATGAATTTTTTTCTCAATTAAACATTTAAGCATTTAAATGTCAGAATTTTTATTGTTTTTGTCATTTAACTGTTAATTTTATCAGTTAATAATGTATGTGTATATAACTAGAATCAATTTGATTTAAAAAAGAATTTCATGTAATAAATATTAGATATTTCGAACTCAAAGTTCTGAATATGTTATATCTATGGTGGATGTAAGAAGAAGATGCTGATGTGTTATACAAAAAATTGTATTCTTAACATTATCTTATTTGAGTAGATCAAATTTTCAGTATTAAATTAAGAAATAGTGAATAAAAAGTACAAATTTAAAAAACAATAAATCGTCAGTTTATTGCTAAAAGTCACTAAATTGATTTTTGATGGTGCTATGTTTTTTTTAAATTTTTTAATCTTATTTATGGATTCAAAAACACACAAGTGCACTAAAATCATATATTAAATATAGATACACATAGTGTACAATGTTTTGATTTCCCAGAGGATATTTATGTTTGAAGTTATTTAATTTTTTGAAATTATGGTTAATGACTTTTTGCAATAAACTGATGAAATATAATATTTAAAAATGTTTGGTTTGAATGATTTGGTAGAAAAAAATTTTTTTTTTCTACATGTCGTTTTTCAGAGCCATCAAAGATATGCACATTGGATTTTTATTTAAGTATAATTGTTGTAATCACAATAAATAAAATATATTAGCGATAGTTATTAATTATACATTTTTTTATTTGCTTTGTTTTTTTTATATATTCTTATGTTTGCACTGAATTGTTAAATTTATATTGTATTATTCATCACTGTTTTTCATGTACTGTTGATATATTTTTTAATATATTCAATTTATATTAATTGTTAATTTTTTTCCACATTCTTTTATTATTTGCTTTGTGTTTTGTTTTTTTTTATATATATTCTTATGTTTGCACTGAATTGTTAAATTTATATTGTATTATTCATCACTGTTTTTCATGTACTGTTGATATATTTTTTAATATATTCAATTTATATTAATTATTAATATTTTTTTCTTCCTATTATACCAGAGTGATTGTAGAGTAAGTTAGTTTCACTATTTGTTGAGAAAGTGAATGTTTTATAAATATACTTTAATATGCGTATTCAAGGGACAAGAGCTTCTCATTCGTACTTCTTCTCTTCTTCTTTCTCTACCTCCTTTGTGCCTTTCAGCGTGGAGGTGCCTCGATCCATGCATCCCAAGCATTTCGGTCCCGAGCTAGAGCCCTCATATCTCCTATTCTCATACCTCTTTCCTGCCCGATCTGGGAAATGTACTCCATCCATGACAATCTGGGTCTTCCTCTTGGGCGCTTTCCTACAGGTCTCGCCTCCATGAATTTTCGTGGGTCCCGGTCTTCATTCATTCGACATACATGCCTGAACCATCTCAGTTGCCTCTTTTCTATTGAATTCTTTAGTGAGACAGTGCCTAGGTCGTCTCTTGTTTTTTCATTCCTGATCCGGTCTCTCCTGGTTCTGCCGGCTACCCTTCGAAGATATTTCATTTCACAAGCAGTAACTCTGCTAA